GGGTTAGGGGGGGGGGGGGCACTGTATGTATTTCAAGTCATTCAGAGACTCAGGCTGACAAAGGCTCTGTTGCCTCCAAAGTTACCAGGTCTTCCCCATCCCATCAGTGGAAGGAGAAGGAGCATGGCAGATCACTGAGAACAGTTTTCTCATGGGCCAAGTCTGGAAGTGTTCAGCGCTCACCCTTTGACTAAGCCTGAGTCCAGTGGTCACACCTAACTTCGAGGGTGGTGGGAGATGTAATTTAGCTGTGTGTCCAAGTAGAAAAGACAATGTAATCTAGGGCAACCAACTTGTCCTGGTTTGCCTAGGACTTTCCTGGTTTTAGCACTTAAAGTCTCACTTCCTAGGAACACTCTCAGTCCCAGGCAAACCAGTACAGTTACCCTAAAAGCCTCCGTCATTCTTGCTCCTTAAGGAGAGACACTAAGTCTTCTGTTTTCTTGGGTCTTCTAGTCTACACTGACTACAAACCACATATCAGGTCATAAACTGAATGTACTTATGAGACACTAGGGCAGAGTATTTTAATTGAAATACATGTCGTCCCTGGAAATTTGAGGCATGTGTGATATAACTTTGCAGCGTACACATCTGCAAACACGGTCTTTGTCCCTAAATGAGTCAGCTATAAAATGTAGTGGCAGGAGTTGTACTACCATGAGGAAATGCTACCCATTTAACAAGAGGTCTTAAATTTAAAAACTCCCAGAAACATTTTTGCCAAAGGGTTCATCTGACAGCGTACAGTGAAGGAATGATTCAGATATTTTATCTCATAGGTCAAATTTTGCCAGAAAACCAACACTTCATTTATCTTAAAGGCAGCTACATGAGCTGTCCTCGAGGACAGGAACTGTGGCTTGTTTACTATTTCTGGCATGTAGAAGGTACTCAATAAATGTTCTCTAAATAAATTAACACGTGGCTTACCAGATAGCCTGTGCCCACTTTAATAAACAACAACAAAAAAAAGGTTTTTCTAATTTGTTTTGTTTGGGCAGGAGTCCAGTTGTTGAGATAATCAGAAGATAGAAAGCACGGTTCTGAAAACCTGTGGCCTGGGGTAAATCAGCTTAGTATATGTGCTTTTGTTTCATCTGCACAGGGTCCAAAAGTCAGGAGTTTCAAGAGAACCCTGGATTTCTGGATCTTGAAAAATTAGAAGATCTGGTAACACGGTGCTTGAATTCCCATACGACAACAACTGGATGTAGCCAAGCAGTAGCTGTCCCTGATAATTGGAGCCCACACAACTGCTATGTTCACTACCACCTCCTATTCTCTTACTCTCACTCAAGGAACTTCTCTGTCACATCTGATAGACACTGATGTCCCAAACACCTGGTTTAAAGCACAGATCTACCTAGTAATATTGTAGTAATTTTTCACATTTTACAATGTCCCCTGAACCCTTCTACTAGCTATTGACAAATATACAGTCACTGATTACTAATCCGTGACTTGATCAGGCCCGCCTGTCCCACAGCACTGTTTTACATAGAGCTTTTTTCCATAATAAAATTAATTTCAAGATATATTCCACCTATAATTGCTTATTTACTTCCACCAATATTACTTTCAAACATGAACAATTCCCAACTAATCCCTTCTCTGACTCACATAAATGAAACAGCTGCCTTTTCAAGAAATGGTGCATTTCTGTCCATTCTTTTCTGTGTTTTCACAGTACAGTTTTAAACAACCACTTCTATTATCAAATGCTAAGTCAAAAGCTATTAGAAAATAAAGCTTGTCACGGCTTTATTCCTATGAAAAATACATAAACAAAAATAAACAAGAGGATGAATAACTTAAAAATAATAGTGATAGCTAACATGTCCTCATTTAAGCATGAGGAAACAGAGATCAACAAGTAACCTGCCGAGGTCACTTAGCTAGTAAATGGTAGAGGAGCTAGGATTAAAACTAAATTAATTTGGGCCGGCCCGGTGGCGCACTGGATAAGTGCACCGCTTGGGAAGCGCGGCAGCGCTCCCGCCCGAGGGTTCGGATCCCACATACAGACCGGTTCCGCTCACTGGTTGAGCGAGGCGCGGGGGCAGCGCCGAGGGTTGCGGTCCCGTTGCCGGTCCCCGGTCCGGTACGGGGGCAACACTGAGGGTTGCGATCCGTTGCCGGACACGGAAAAAGACAAAAGAAAAAAAAAAAAAAAACTAAATTAATTTTAGTCCAAGAAGTCAGATGAAAAAATAAAAACAGTGCACACCTCCTTACCCAAAGTTAGAATAAAGTAATCGTGAAAACCAGAGGATTGTAACATGCATGGTGGGATAGAATCTTCATGATCTGACCCAATCCTTACTTTACATATGAGAAAGCAGGTCGGAGGGGTTCCATCCCTCGAGCAAAGGTCAAACAGCTAGTTACTGCAGGGCCAGGCCTGACAGCAAAAGCCTGACTCACAGATTGGGTCCTTCTCCCACACCCTGGCTCAGGAACCTTACTGCACAATCTCCCTGAAGTTCTACTGTGGAAACACATCTCCGTTTTCAGGCAATTTTATCTAAGAGGGAGAGGAAACTTTATTTTCCTTGCCTCTGTTTTTAATCTTAATGCCATAATTGCTGTCTGAATGGATTTGAAGCTGACATCTAAAAGCAATCATGTTATCAGGCCCTAGAAGCTTCAACTACTTATTTTACACGAAGCAAGGGCCAAGTAGTGTCTGTATTGAAATTAATTTTCCTTTCTAATTTCCGTTATAATTAACTTTTATACATTTCTTGTGTAAATTTAAAACTGAGTCTGGCATTGCATATTCATCACATAACAAAAATAAATTCTTGCTTTTAAAGTATGCAAAAAAGCACAGAATTACTGAATTATGAACATTGTTAATTTGAAACAGAAAGCATTCACTGAAATCATGCAAAATTCCTTCTGTTTTTACTTCACCAAACAGCAGTCTCTCCTGCTGCAATTGATGATGTCATGAACACCCAGTGCTGGTATAACATTCCATTCCCCTTAGATATAATCAATTATATAGCACCCCACAGGCCAACAAGGCCTAATCAGCTCTGTAAGCAAGGAGCAAAATGCCTTTTTAAATCACCTTAAATATACTAAAGTATAAGTCAATCACTTAAAGTATGTTTAGTAATTACTAAAATGAGAAACATGGATGGAAAAATGTCTTGATTTTAATTCTTTCTTATTTCATATACAATATTCAGCTACCAAAATTTCATGGGAATTTCACATTTTTAATAAAAGGACCTAAAGTTCCATTAAATGATGGAGAAGAAAGTCTCCATTTTCTTAAAAATACAGTGACATGAGATTTTTCAAATTTTCCACAATTACCACCTAAGGTATTAAAGATCTTCATTAAAAACCATATGAGATAAAATGGCTAGGAATTTCCACTCACTATAGTTTTCTTTTTAATGGAAATGTAATTACTACAGAAGTTCTCTTTTATTTAAGTCTAAGTTATATAACCCTCAAACTAATATGACAAAGATTGCAAGTCTTCTCCAAGTTCCCCAAAACATCTTTATGGCAACTGCAATCAATCAGCTTATGGCCATCAGTTGTTCACTGCTTCAACAGAAGGCCCATGTCGCCACTTCATAACACATGCGTACCACCCAATAATTCTTTTCCAAGAGCTCTGATGTCCCATTCACCTATCAATCTCTCACTCTGTACTAGAGAAAAGGATTCAGAAAATTAAGTCCTTGTCCTGCAAGGATTTAGATAAGCCTTACAGTCTGGAAATGCCCCGATTCCCAACAGGCCGAGGGCCGATGCTGAGCTCCTGGTGCAGACTACAGAGCTGTTAAGTCCACCCTGTCCACTTGCTTGCTGACACTGTTCCCAGAGTGGGACACCTCACGTTCACTCTTCAGGTACCACTTTGCTTTAGAATTTCATCATGTTTTTAATTTTGACCTATTTCACAGTCTTACGGGATCGACTGGGAGGGACTCCCTTGCTCATCCAATCCCACCTCAAATCAAATACAGAAAACTCCTGGAATCATCTTTTGCTTGGACAAGACAGGAGCTTGATTGTCCCAGGAGCTGGATACTCACTCCACACTAGGAGAGACATCCCAACCAAGAGTGACAAGAATTCTTAAAACGGAAATCAGTTTCTCTCACTTCCGTCTTTGATCCTAGAGTTGCTTATTGGGATTATACATAGAATAAGGCTCATTGCCCCCCCCCCCCCAGTTCAGTAATCATTGGAAGATTAAGATTTTCATGGACCCTTAGAATTTTAAAACCACGGGAGAATTTAAGAGATTATATTTCAATCCTCCACATCAGCCCAGAAGGATGAAGTGACTTACCCTAGTCACACAATAGTTAGAATTGAGCTGTCACCTCCACTGTCTTCCCTTACCAGCTGAACAATGCTACATCAATTTCCTTTTACTTTTGACATCAAACCACTGGTGCCCCTACTTTGTCCAACTCTCCCACTCCCCTTCAGGACTTGACTAGTCAAACTGTTTTAACTTTACCTGGAGATAGTTGTGGAAATGACTGCAATTATGTTAACACTGTAATAGGAAACACTTGTGTATCAACATTTTATATGCTTTATTGAAAGTTGACAAGTGCAACAGTTAAATACAGTGACACCTTACAATTGTGTAGAGAACATGCACAGAAACATATGCATATAACTACTATACAGGTAATATGCAGAAACCCCTACTGGGAAATCCACTTCATTAGCTAAAACTGATCATTTTTCAAAATATTCAACCAGCTCAATTGAAAGACTTCAGTGAACAGAGATTTACTTCAAGATATTCAGCAGCTAGAAGATTTCAGATTACACAAAGTGACTAACTGTGCCAAATTCTTAAAATTTCTTTTGGTGTGGGTTTTGTCATGTAGCAGATTACATGTAGATCTATTTATAAAAGACAATCCACACCTCTTCAGACAGCCAATGAAACATCTAAATTTCAATCTGTACAACCTAAATAGTAGTTACAGTCCTCTATTGTACAAAATAGTTACACTACATACACAAATATACAATAAGCAAAACAACCTTCATGGTAAGATAGCCTAGGTCCCAGCTACCTGTCACCATTTTGTCACTCTAATAGTTTTGTGTCATCCACTGTTTCAGAAAGAGGCACAGTACTATTGTTTTTTGTGGATTTTGGTGACAGTCGTCAATTGTACAAGGAAATATTTCCCTCTCATTTTAGTCTTTACTTTTACCTCCCTTTCAAGTTCCTCATGAGGAGAGGAGAGAGGAAAAGTCCAGTGAGGAGCTCCACCACTTGGTAACCCCATGTAGCACACTAAGTGCAAGCAGGAGAACTCTCAGAAATGGGGGATGTGGAGCTGGAAAGGGATGGAAAGGCACACAGCCCCTCAGCATGAATTAAACTTTTTCTCAGATATCTGTCAGGCTGCATGAGGTCCCAGTATATCCATTCTAATTCTCTGATTAATCTTTAATTCACCCAACTAAGAACTTTCTTCAAGCCAAAAGCATATGGGTGTTTAATACTGGAAAAAAGATAATGGCATATGTCACTCTCACGTCTCTTTTGCAGCAAGTAATGAAATGGGTGACTGTGGAGGCGGATTCTCCCTAGTACATCTTCTGTTCAGTTCAGACAGCAGCAGCCAGTTCTGCGTGGGCATGGGAAGCTATGCGGTCGGTCCTGAGCCTTGGGACGCTGGCTGGGCGGGGGGCTGTGTGGAGCCCTGTGGCTGCGTGGTGGCAGGTGGGGAGCCAGTCTGCAGCTGGGCCTGAAACTGGGCGAGCTGCTCAGGACTGGCCAGTGTCTTCAGCAGATTGTTTTCCTGCTCCAGCTGGGAATTTTTCTCTATTAGTTCTTTGATTTGCTCTTTGAGGACCTCCACTTCCTCTCTAACGGCATACATCAAATGGCTTTTTACCAGATCCTGAAAAGAAGAAAAAAAAAAAAAAGGTTTATTATTTACTACTTGCTGGACTCTGAATTTCTAAAGCATTATTCTGCATGGTTCTTCCTAACCATTACATATCCTGCTTTTAAAGTTCATTAAAGACACTTGGGGAAATCTGAATACAACCACAACTGTACAATAATTTATAAGTGATCAAGCTCTCTCCAAGTCTTTGCTTTCTCTGCATACATTAGCCAGGAATCCATACAATCCGGTTTCCAATTCGAAATGGCGAAATGCACTGGGGCTTCTCTGCCTGAGCCCTGGGTTCCCAGACCCAAGCCTGGCCGCCAGGATGTCCAGGCCTGCAGCGCCAGTGGCCGCTTCTCCGCCCCCAAGTCCCTCCCTCCGCCCACCGGAGCCGCCTCCCTCAGCACCGGCTGCAGCCAGTTCCTACAGAGCATGTTGCCGCATTTTCTTCCCTCCACCCCAACCCCCAACCCCCCGCCCCCCCGGCTTTTCGTGATTAAGCTGACATCACAGAAACCTGGGCAGACGTTGCAGCCAATGGGAGCCCGAGTTATTTATAGCTCCGAATTAAAGGTTCGCAGTTTGCCTAGCAACAGTGGGCAGAGAATCCCGTGAGAAGAGCCACAGGCGCTGCTCCAATAACAAAGAACAGCCAAGGCGGAAATAAAAAATAGGAGAAATCCAGGCGCAGGCTGAGAAAACAAAACTTTTTTCCGATTCTTCTCCATTGTGCAGTAGCCTGCATCACTGGGGACCCATTTGTGCAACATCTAGAAGGCCCTTCCCCCGAAATCCCCATTTATGGTTCCCCCCGCTCCCGGCTCCCTAGTAAAATCTTAGGGTTCCTAGTAAAGCCACATCGCTAAAGATGTGCCCAAAGGAAACGCTGGGCCAGCGCTATCCTAGCAAAACCTTAGCAAAACGGGACACACTGAAAAAAGAGACGTTACGTGAAATCGGCCCAGGAAAAGAGAACACTTAATACCCCCAGGGCCCCTTTCTCCCTCCACGGTAGTCGTGGTATGTGGCTTCTTGCTGGCAGAATGGAGACAGCGCCGGCATTTCTAAATGTATGAAGAGCCACCAACATCGTCTGAACTTAGCCATGCACTGGTTCCACCCTGAGACACTTTGTTTTTTGTGCTGTGCCCACATTTAGTACAAATGGTTTTTAATCAGTACATACCATAGCTTGCTCGATTTTGTTGTCAATAGCTACCACACTTGCACCAGAGGAGCTGAAAAAGAGAAAGAAAAGTCAGTTGATAAATGGAATTTATATTAATCGTCTAAAGTAAAAAAAGGATCTCCCAATTCTGTGATGTTACCAGCATCATATTTTGAATATTCTTTAACACTGTAATGTATCACCTTCCAGAAAACACCAGCCACTCTCTTACTAACGAATATCCAGGCATTTCCCTATTTTTGTGAGCCACAAAAAGTTAAATTACATAATGTGGGAATAGCCTGTTCTCTAGCCAGATTTACGAAAACAAGCTATTTCCGAACATTTCAAAAAGCAACACCCATGTCACAGTAATCTCTCAGCATGGACAAAGGAATTTGCCTGGCTATCTTTCACCTGAATTATTATAAGTATCTCACGAGCAAATTTAAAGGAACTATCTCAGCCGACATTTACCTATTATCAAGTCTCACAGAAGCGTTTTCAGTCCCCAGCAAGGATGATAAGAAAGAAATTGAAAAATGTCTCAGTTGGTAAACTCCTAGATCCATCGCCACTGGTCTACACCATTGGGATTTCATGCAATTGCAGCCAAAAACACCCTCGCAGAAAAAAAGAGGGAACACCAGCAGTCTTGTTTGAGCTAGATAAAATCTTTCGGCTTTCTGAAGCTCAGAGAGAAATAGAAAACAGCAGCACTAAAAGAAACCCGGCTGTGAGGCTTGGCAATTCTGGGAAGATGCGGATCCCAGTGCCGTGCAGAGAAGCCTCCCAAAACTGCAGCCCGGCTCCACTCAGCTCTAGACCAGATCTCCCGGTCTCAGTGCACAATATATGCAGGGAACAGCCACGCCGATTGGCCAGCACGCCACTGGAACCGCCCCTTCCCCGCCTCCCTCCCCCCGCCCCAATCTCCAGATCCCGCTCTTGGGGTGGGCTGGCCCAGGCCACACTCAGAGGGACTGGGGTGCAGGGCCGCAGGCTTCCACGGCCTCTGAATGCCAGACACTGCTACAGCAGAACACGTCAAGGCTCCTTAAAAAATACGATCGGGATCCCGCACGTGCTTACGTTTCAGGGAGTCAGACCCCGTCTCCGGAGCTGCCTGTCCCCGCTGCAGCTCAATGGCGAAAGCTTCCTATTTGCAACCAGAACCGTCTGTGCTACTGGGCATGCCCAGTCCCATCGCTAACAACTTGCAGGAGCTCGAGTGTCTCGATTATAATTACCTAGTTCTTACAGGCAGTAATAATGGCAAGATTTTATAGTGTTTTATTCATAAGGATAATAACCGTACTGCAATAACAATTTTTAAAAATGCCAGTGAATTTTAGAGAGAAAATCACATTTGGTTTTTGAGAGATCCTACCTTTCCATGAATTTATCCATTACTTGTAGATGCAAAACAAAAAAATATCACATATTATTTACCAGGCATATAAAAATTGAGTCAAAAAGGAGTCCACTGGATGAAATCCAGCCACTTCACTACAGCCATAAACCTTAGAATTGCATCTCCTTACCAGTACCTTCTCACCAGTAGTTAAATATGCCTTTTTCCATTTTTAGCTCGAAAAGTCAATCCACAGGATAAATCCTACATAGATGTATTTTCAGGAAATTCCTAAGGGAGGTTTTTGGCAGTTAAGTGGCAATTCCTCTAAGATGCAATCCTATGAGCATTCTTACTTCAGAGGGACTGAAATATTGTAAAATATGTATTCAAAGCACACAATTCCTTGAAGTTAGTCTCTTTGCTCATTCACAGTATCCAGAATCACTAAAAATGGGGATTTGATGGTGATTCAAAATAGTTAAGTAGTCAGTAGATGCTGCAGGCTCACCTCTACTTCATTCTTAAGGCCACGCTGACTAAATAATTCCTTTCCTCAAACCAAAACCAAAAGACCTGGGTGTAAAATAATTTTAACCCCTTACAAAATTTACTCTATTAATTTAAAATATTTGTAAAGATGCATCAAGCAAGATTACAATTTAATATATTATAAATCTAAGGCCTTAAGTCTTTATGATTATACAACACAATTTGCAATACATTTGAGAGAATTTAACCTTTACAATACTGCCCTCTAATGGCATTATACTATAAAAACAGAAACAAAAAATCTGCAAAGTATCATCACAAATAATTCCAGTATAAAATTTGACCAGAGAACATATATATCTATATATTCTACTTATACATTCTTCTCTCCAAAACATGCATTTTCCCTTCAGCAGCATGTTTTCCTAAAACTGCCATCAGAGCCTTTTAGACAGTCTTTTAAGTTCACCTAATGCTGATGGGGGGATTTTGGTTCTAAAAACAGTCCAAAGAGTGGCTGGCCAGTTAGTTCAGTTGGTTAGAGCACCGTGTTATAACACCAAGGTCCAAGGGTTCAGATCCTCATACAGGCCAGCCACCAAAAAACAAAAAAAAAGACGGTCCAAAGTGATAAGGAACCAAATCCGGTGAACGCAGTAGATGACAATGAAGAGGGTAATTCTCTTTGGGGTTAAAAACCAAAGGGTGACTAATTATAAAGCAGTAAAATTTCTTTTTTATTGTAAGGTTCATATTATTCTCCAAATTTTAAGCCTTTTTAGTTCTAAAAATTATATTATCTCATATGATACACATTTTTTTGAAGGCGGCACCCACTTTCAATAATAAGAAACAGTAAGTAGAAGCTTAAAACTCATAGTAATTTGGAAAGCAGGCATGTGGTCGGTATGTCTATGAATGCTAAACAGAATTATTATTTACAACATGATAGTTTCTATATGTTGAAAGTTAAAGTTATGACTAAAACTATCTGTGTGATTAAGTCCATTTACATATTTTAACTGAATACCAACTTCACATGAAAAGGTATTAAAGAAAGCACATCTTAAGCTATAAAAAGGCTTAATAAAACAAAACTCTAAGGTCATATAAAGAAATTTAAAATTCCCAGCTGGAGTTTAAAAAAATTACTAAGTTAACTGAATTTTATTTATTCATGCCGTTCTTGAACATAAATAGAAAGAAGTTGCTTATGTTTTTATTTTAATCATTTCAAACTGATCATCCATTGTATTAAGCAACAAAAGCAAATATAAGCAACCATATTCTACTGAACCCATTTTCCTACTGAGGGACATTATGGTTATCTCCAATACTTTGCTATTTTAAATAAAATTGCAAGAAACATCTTTGTACATACAACCTTGAACATGTATGTGTGTGTCTGGAGAATTTGGTGGGCTAAAGGATATGCAACCAGAAAAATAATTAGGATCTAGTCTTTTCATATCTTTCACAAAATGTGTTAGATTCCCTTATAACTAGATTTTTGTATGAAAACTAAAAAGACAATTTGAAAAAGAAGGCAAAGGAAATGGAGAAAAGCTCCATGGAGGAAAAACTGTTGGATCAGAAATGTCTGAGGCACTAGTTTGAATTACATTCAAAGATTCTTCTATTTGCAAGACAAAATATCTGTGAGTCTTGTGCCTAATCAGCCCAAGACTTGCTGATAGGACAGTGAAAACGCTACAATGCCTCCAGAAGAAACCCCTTAAAGGCATGTACCATACAAGTCAGCCTCAGGCACTAGGCAGAGATCAGGAGGTATCACTCCCAAGGGGAATCTGGGGCATGGGAAAGTGCGGACATTTGAAATTGGGGTATTTTGCTGTTGTTATCCACCTGAGAAACTTTTTTCATGGATTCCAATTCAACCACCTCTGCGTATTGGTAGTAAGCATGATAGAAGAGCAGAGGCAGGGCCTGTGCATTGCTAATTCAGTAACAGCTGCTTTTCTTCTAAAGTTGATCTGACTTGGCCAATATAGGTACAGCTGGGGATCCACCACTCAAATGGGATAACCCCCTGTCCAAGCTCCTTGCAAGTCTAAAGTGACTGTCAAGGAACAAGTTAAGGCACATCACCCTGAACCTGACCAAAGCACTAATGTCTAGGAACTCCTAGTTCACCTCTACATTTCTAGTTTACACTCGCCGGACTCTGGGAGTAGGGCTACCAGGCTTAGCAAATAAAACTAGAATACTCCCAGTTAAATCTGAATTGCTGATAAACAAGAAATAATGTTTCAGTGTTGGGACCAACACAATGCCAGAGCAAGAAGCAATGCCAAAGAAATCAAAAGAAGGAAAAGTTGTTAAATTCATATGTTAAATTTCCTTGACTTCCACAGAAAGACTGGAAGATAAAGTTGAGAAAATCTTCCAAAAAGTAAAACAAAAGAAAAAGAGATGGATAAATCTAGGAGATCTGACATCAAAATAGGATGAGTTCTAAAAACAGAGAACAGAGAGAAGGGAATTATCAAAGAAATAATTTAAGAATTTTCCCAGAACTGAAGGGCACTAGTCTCCAGATAAAAAGAGATGACCAAATGCCCACAATAAATGAGTAAAGCCCTACACCAAAGCACATCATCTTGAAACTTCAGAACACTAGGGATGGAGAGAAAATGCTAAAAGCTTCCAAATGGAAAAAACAAGTTACAAACAGGAACTAGCATCAGAATGGTTTTGTTGGCTGCTAGAGAACAATAGAGAAAATGTCTTTAAATTCTGAGAGAAAAAGATTCGTTATCTAGAATTCTTCACTTGGCCAAATCATCATTTGAGTGTAAAGGTAGAATAAAAACATGTTCAGATATTTCAGATACCAAAGTGGAAGAACAAATCAAGAAAAAGGCAGGCATGGGAAATAGGAACCAGGGACTCGGACAATGGCCAGAAGGAAGGGAATCAAAAGGGTGTATGGTAAAGGGATATCTCAGGGTGATGACTGCAGAGCAAACCTAAGCAGCAGCTGGTCTATAACTGACATGCAGTGGTGGGGGAAGACAAAGACTCCAGAAGGGAGAGCTTCACTGCAAATAAACATGCAGATTATCTGACACATCTGAGCATTTGCAGGGGGTTACTGACAGGTATATGACAAATCTAATGAAACAACTAGATAAGTTCAAAGGCAGTTTTACAGAAAACAAAGCAAGGGGAAAAAAAGGGAATGCTCATAAGTAAAGTTTATATAAATATATTAATTTAAAATTTTTTTATTGATTTAACTTTTAAAAGTTAACTTTATTGGGAAGGTGGTAAGAACAATTACATGGTGGGAATGGTTTAAAAGTGATAAATGCTAATCTACTACAACTTGATTATATAATACCTGAAATTAAAAAAGCAAGAAATAAGATAAGTACAGATATATTACACAGAAATGTGGAGGTGAATACAAGAAAAAATAACTAAAAGTTAAAAGCTGCCTCTGAGGTACAGACTGGAGTTGAGTGAAAAAAGGGAACTGATAGGTTTTTTTTTTCCTATTCACTCCATTATATCTTTAGGTATATGCATGATTGCTTAGATTCTTAAGTAAAAGAGAGAGAGGTACACAGAATGGAATCAGCAGCGGTTCCTCCTGCTCCCAGGCTTCAGCCGAGTACTTATCGCACACATGTGTGAGGAAACTACCCGAGGCTTGGGAAAGAACCACCCAGAAGAAGCAGGCAGAACAATTTTCAGAAATCTCATATGGTAGGAAATAGTTACCACCAGTCTGAGTGAAAAAAACCTTATAAACACAGAGCATTGAATACTCAGAAGGTTACCACCTAAATTGTAGGGGAAAATTAGTCCTAGACTGTAGGGTGTTTTGGTCCTATATAAAGTAGTCTAAAAGGAAGCCTTGAAAGGATCAAAGTTTCCAAGTAACTTAATTATTTCCGAAAACAAAATGCCAGGCTATTTAACAAAATAAAGTCTCTTGCATCCAATAATTCACAATGTCCAACATCCAATAAAAAGTACCAGGC